GTACTGAACAGAACGATCCGGCTCAGCAAAGAGAACGGCGTGGTGGAGCACGAAGCAGACCAACGCCACGCTGAATAAATCCTAAAATCACTGGGGCTAGAGAAAGCGAAGGCCGCGACAACGCCAGCCGAAAAGAAGACGGCTCGCGCCGTGTCGGCGGCGCTGTCGCTGCCGAAGGTGGATGATGACCGGAAAGAGGTTCTACAGGTCTTTGGTCCTGAGGGCGTCCTATCTAGCACAAGACAGGGCGGACTTGTGCGAGTGTGCCAAGTCGCTTGCTCGAAAGATGGTTGGACCGACCGAAGCCGCTTCACAGACCTGAAGCGTCTAGGTCGTTACCTGGTGGGCAGGCCCCGGGTAGTCTTGCGCTTTGAACAGCAGAAGATGTACAAGGACATCACCGTGTACTCAGATTCAGACCACGCAGGGGGTCTTATCACACGAAGGAGCACCTCAGACACAGCCGTGCTCAAGGGGAAATACTGTGTGAAGGCATCGTCTGGACTCCAGAGCACCATCGCTCTCTCGAGTGGTGAGAGCGAGTTCTACGGGATTGTCAAAGCTGCTTCAATTGGTTTGCAACTGCAGGCGCTGCTAGCCGATTGGGGCTATAAGGTCAATGTGACGGTGCTCACAGACAGTAGTGTTGCACGTGGCACCTGCGCCCGGCGAAGGCTGGGGAAGCTGAGGCATGTGCAGACCCGCTACTTGTGGGTCCAGGAAAGGGTGGCGCGAATTGAGATCGATGTGCAACAGGTAGGGACATCGCAGATTCGTACACGAAACCTGCCAATGGAGATCCCCTCGCAAAGTTTACGAAGATATCGAACCATTATTTTCAGAGCGGTCGGGCGGCGACAGCAAAGCATCTAGTGAAGGTGTAGGTAGACTAGCAGCGCCCTCGAGGAGGAGGGAGGAGGGAGGAGGGAGGAGGGAGGAGGGAGGAGAAGAGACGGCGGAAACGATGGCGGAAGGGGGGGGAAGAGATGGTGGTGATGGGTGCAGCTGTGTCAGGGGGCGGCTCGACGGATGCCTATCCCAACCGCAGGGCCAGGAAAAGACTGCAAATGAGGAGGACGAGGAGCCGACGGAAGCGGAGGCGGAGGCTGCTGTGGATAGGGATGGGGGTTGGTGGCAGGCTTCTGCGCGGCAGCGGGGGAGGGACGTGAAGGTCATTGACTTCCTTCCTCCTCCCGAGTCTGTCGACTGCCGGGTATGCGGCCTTGGAACTCCTTATCGGGCTCCTGCTCCACGTGCGCTCACGCTAGATCGGCCCCTGAGCAGTCTCAAACCTTAGAAACTGTGCCACTGGTTGCCAATGTTCGCCCTCCATCTTTCTGGCGCCCTGGCAGTTGTTAGTCCGCCCAAGGGGCGAACCAGACTGCGCGCAGGAATATGGACGGGCCGGCGGCGCGTATGGAGGGGATGGCTGGAGGGAATACGGGGGGGCGACATTACAAGAGAAGGCAGAGGCAGAAAGGCGTGGAGGTTTCCCAGGAGACTTGATATAGTGTCCGGGAGGCCTTTCAAGCAGCCGCGTGCCTTCTCAGCCCCCCCCCGTCCCCCGCCTTCTCTCAGAAGACCGTCCCCTTTGGTCCACCCCCGTTGGCGCGCCGACAAAAGGGGGGACAGGGGCACCGATGGCAGCAAAATAGCTTGACGTAAAAGGACCCCCCCGCATTCTCTCAGAGGGCCCCCTTCCATCCTCGCCCTTCGTTCCGCTCTCCTCTTCTCCCCTCCCCCTCCTGGCAGCCTCCTGGTAGTCATCAGCATTGTTTCGCTGGGGCCAGCAGCTTCGGTGGATAGCACTTGTGATATTGGTTTCGACGGGTGGACCCGCGTGCCCTCGCCGCTTTCGGGCCCAATTCGCACCGCAGCAACCGTGCCGTAGCCACGACCACAACCTTCACCCAAGGTGCACCCCTGACCCAAGCATCGCGAGGGAGAGCAGCCATGGGCTGGACCTAAACGGTGTTTTCGGTGATTTCGTGGGCCGCCTTCGTTTCGAGTTCGTTTTGCGGCAAAGGCGGATTCGAGACAAAAGCGAGGGAAAACGAAAACAACACGAAAACGAAAAACACCGTTTAGGTTCAGCCCTGAGAGCAGCAAAACCCGTTTAGGTTCAGCCCTGAGGCCGTGCTGCGCAGCGCAGGCGCGGACAAGGCACACAAATGCGCCATCCTGGGCGTCCTGAGAAACGACCCAGCGGGAGAGCGAAGGCGGAGGAGCGGGAGGAATGCGAGCATAGACAGAGCAGATACCGCACCGAGGGTGGGCCGGCACCCCTCGGGCAGAAGGGCAGCTCGCGAGGGCGCAGACGTATCGGAATTTCGCCGAGGTGCTCGTAATTACTGAGGACCCACACGAGCGAACGAGGAGGAAGGGAGCAGAAGAAAGAGGAGAGAAGACTGACGTTGGGTCGGGCGTGTCCTGCTGCGGGCGGGTTTGCGACGGAACACATTAAGAAGGGTCGACACTACTCAACAGTACTCAAACAGAGTATTCAAAACAACGCCCCCAGACGATGTTCTAACCATTTTTTGGATCTCCTGTAGAGAGACATACTCCAGATTTCGTAATAAAGGGAGGGGGGTCTCATTTCGGGGGGAGTCTCTTCCAGGCTACCTTGGGAGGGCCTGGGGGGTCTGTCTGGGGACGACGTTTTGGGGCCGTGCCCCGAGGGCCCCAAAACGTCGTCCCTCCCGCTCCCTCGCAGGCGTGCGGGCGTCGCCGCTCTCGCGCGCGGCCCTCGAGGCGGCAGGGCGTCTTGCGGCAGGGCTGGACCTAAACGGTGTGGTTGGCGGTTCCGTGGGCCGTTTTCGTTTCGACTTCGTTTGGCGGCAGGGGTGGGTTGAAGACAGAGGCGAGGGAAACGAGGGCAGAACGAAGACGGAAAGCACCGTTCGGGGTCCGCCCTGAGATGGCAGGGTGTTCTGCAGAGGGAGCCCGGGAGTGCAGTGTGGCGCGCACGACGGAGTCGGGCAGCGGGTGGAGGGATGAGGGAGGAGGGAGGAGGAGGAGGAGGAGGAGGAGGAGGAGGAGGAGGAGGAGGGAGGAGGGAGGAGGAGGGAGGAGGAGAGGAAGGAGGGGGGAGGAGGAGGGAGGAGGAGGAGGAGGAGGAGGAGGAGAGGAGGAGGAGGAGGAGGGAGGAGGAGAGGAGAAGGAGGAGGAGGAGGAGGAGGAGAAGAAGAAGAAGGACAAGGAGAAGGAGGAGGAAACAGGGCGGACATATGATCATCTTAGGATGTCTCTTGGGGGTTGTTTTGGAAACCTCTAGGAGCGTCTGGGGGGGATCTTGGGGGGCTTCGGGAATCCTCGTGAAGCCTCTTCGGGTCTCTTGGAGGTCTCTTGAATGCCTCTCGGAGCCCCTTGGGATATCTCGTGGGCGGTTGTTTTGAAGCATCTTGGAACGTCTCGGGGATCTCTTGGCGGTCCTGAGGACTCTTGGGCGTCTTGGGTGCCTCGGGGAGGCCGCTTGGGGTCCTCTTGGGGGTCTTTTGGGGGTCTCTTGGGGCCATTTTGGGGCTATCTTGGGGCCATCCTGGGTCTCCTGGGCGCCTCTTGGGCCCGTCTGGGCTCCTTTGGGAGCCTTGTCGGGGCGTTCTTGGAAGCTTTAGGGGCTCTCTTGGGACCATCTTGGATGAGATCGGTCAACGAAGGGGGGTTCCTTGAGTACGCCCCCCCCAGGAGGCCAAAATGGGGCCCAAACCCTTGTAAAGCCAATGATTTATGCTTCCTCGCCGAGGCTGTTTTGGACGCTCCTACACCTCGCGGAACCCCTTGTCGAGGTCCATGGGGAGGGGGTAGGGGGAGGGGTAAACCCCTCCCCGAAGGGGAAGAAGGAGGGGTGGAAGAGGAAACTCTCTAAACCACCGACGTCCAGAGGGCTGGTGGAACTTAGCCAACACATAGTCTGGGGACGATTTTCTGAGCATGTTCTAAACTGTAGTTTTGAGTATGGTTGAGTATGTTTCAGTTTCCGTCCAAAATCTGCCTGAAGGAGGACATGCCCGACCTAAGCGTACGACGATGAGTTCGCAAAGTGGGTGACACATTGTTTCGAGGCTGACGACGACGGCGGCATCAAACCGGACCCCAGCATTTGAATGATGAGCCGGTGTTCGAATACATGGACCCGGACAAAAAAACGAGCTCTATGACGTCAAGGCAGCCTTTGCTATCAAGAACCTCAAAAGTGCTGGCGTGGGTACACTAAAATTTGGCGTCAGGAAAAAAGGGAAGGTCGACGGTGGACCGCCTGAGCTGAGCCACCACCGCCAGAACCTCCTCCGGCTGATCCGCAGATAATACTGGGGAACTGGCAGCAGGCAAGCCAGGAGGGTTGGTGGTCCTAACGTGTTGCCATCTCTTCTTTTGCGGGTGGATGTGAAGTTTTTCGGATACAACGCGTTAGTGGGGCATGTGACATATTTACCATCGCCACGTTGGAGAGATGGGGCATCTTGGAACGTGCGCGTGTGGGACGCAACTTCAAATTGTTGGAGGCGAAAGCCACCGCATTTGCGGAGAATCAAATTTACCGTAATCGGTGAATCCAACGTCGGCGCTATCGGTTAGGCTCGATACGACAAGCACCATTTTCGTGTCAGTCCCACAGAGAGGGCGTGTGTCAGATGTTGCCTTCGCAATTTCGGGGTCATGGGTATGTGGCCTGGTCAAGGGCAACGATCGGGGGGGATAGGCGTGGGGTGCGATACGTCGACCCCCCATCGCCCACAAGTCGCCGATGCGGGTCTGAGTGCCCCACCCCGCCCAGGAATGCGCGGATTCATAATCGGGGGACTGTCGCCGATCTATCGGCGATGTATGGAAGGAGTGGCCCCAGAAGCGGGAAAGCACAAACTCGATACGAACGACGACGACGACGATCCCCCCTGCTCCTCCTCCTCCTCCTCCTCCTACCCCCTCCGCCCAGAGGGCCGGTGGGACTTTGAGGAGGAGGAGCAGGAGGACGAGGGCGGCGAGTCGTGCCCGCCGAGGCACGGCCTGGCGAGCCACGGCACGGCGAGCCCGCGGCAGTTTCCGGCAGCGGCCGCGGCGGCACGAGCCTGCCGCGCGGCGGCCCAGGACGGCTCGGCAGTGGGCGCCCGTGCCTGGGCCCCTCGCAGGTCGTGGGCGTCCAGGGTGGGGGTGACGACTGGAGACGCGCAGACACAGTGGGGGCCCATGCCAAGAGACACCATGGCTGCCTCCAGGGAGCCCTGGGTTTCTTGGGTTCAGATGGCTCTGCGGTGGAAAGCGTGGCGCTCCCACACCAAAAGAGTCGATGGACGCCCTGGGGTCTCAGGGTTGGGTTTCTTGTGGGAGGTTTCTTGTGGATTGGCCTGCACTGTACTTGTACCCACTCCGTTGACGAACAACAAGCGGCATGACCGTACATTTCCCAAGCCCACGCGGATTTTGTGGGTCGGCTTTGGATTTCCTTGGCGGCGCCTCTGGCGCCTCCCTTAGCGCGCTGCGCGCCATGGAGGGCTCAGCGCCGACCCAACATGTCCGCGCGGGCCTCGAAAATCCCATCAGCCCTCTGGGCGTCGGTGGTTTAGAGAGTTTCCTCTTCCACCCCTCCTTCTTCCCCTTCGAGGAGGGGTTTACCCCTCCCCCTACCCCCTCCCCATGGACCTGGACGGGGGGTTCCGCGAGGTGTCGGAGCTTCCAAGATGGCCCAAGACGGCTCCAAGAGGGCCTCAGAGAGCCCAAGATAGCGTCGAAGATGGCTCAAGATAGCGCGAGATGCCTCGATATAGCTCCGAAGATGCTCCAAGACGCTCCAATACCGCTCCAAGACGGGTCTAAGTGGCCAAAAGAGCTCCCCAGTGATGCCCCGACGAGGCCAATATGCTGCAAAACTATCAGGAAAATCAATGATTTTGGCGTTATCGCTTTTGCGCTTACGATGCCAATCCGAGGCCTCAACATCGCTCCGAAATGGCCCAACAGGGCCCCAAGAAGGGACCAACCGAGCCCCAAGACGGCCCCAAGAGCGCTCAAGAGCGCTCCAAGAACGCTCCAAGATGGGTCCATGAGGCGATTTTGGGTGCCCCTGAGGGGGGGGCGTAATTAAGGACCCCCCCTTCGTTGACCGATATCCTCCAATATGGTCCCAAGAAGTGTCCAGGAGGCCCCAAGAGGTCCCAAGATGGCCCCCAATAGGCCCCCAGGAGGCCCCCCAAAAGACCCTAAGCGGCCCCAAGAGGCCCCCCCGAGGCACCCAAGACCTCGAAGAGCCCCCCAGATTCGCCAAGAGACCCCCGAGACGTCCGAAGAGGCCACCAATAATCGCCCAAGAGATACCCCAAGAGGCTCCGAGAGGCATCCAAGAGACCTCTGGCCCTTGTGCTTGCCCTACTCCTCCTGTTCCTCCTTCCTGCTCCTACTCCTTCTCTTCCCCCTTTTTTTCCCCCTCCTCCTGCTCCTCCTCCTCCTCCTCCGCCTCCTCCTCATCCTATGTATCCTCCTTCTTCCCACTCCCTCATTCATCCATACATCCACCTCCTCCTCCTCCTCCTCACTCCTTTGCACGGTTCGGCCGTCCTCCTCTTTGCTGCCGCACTTGCCTGATCACCTCAACTCACCTGGCCATCGTTTCTGGATAGGCTGCTGGGGATGCGCGAAGCGTCTAGAATTGCACGATTGTGCGCGTATATTTTTTCTCGCCCTGGCGCGGGCCCTCCCCCCGCTCCCTACGTTGCCCCCGACCTCGCCCTCCTGTTTTTTGTTTCGCGCCCCGCCACCTCCTCGCCTTTCCAGTGCATGAGCGCGCATGTCGGTTTTCCTCGGTGCCCTCGCCGCCTCGGCCAGCACAGGCGCGTTCTCTAATGGCCACGTCGCGCAGCCGTTGAGACAACCCCGCGGGCCAGGCTGTCGGGACAACCCCGCGAGCCGCCTGCGCGCAAGACCAAGCCGTTGGGACAACCCCGCGGGCTTCGAGCGGGGCGCAGCCGCGTTCAGGCGGGCAGCACGAAGCCCAGCTCTGCCGCGAGCTGCTTCGCCTCCGCCCTGGACAAAACCGCTTTCTTGTCGAACTCCAGGAGCGCCTTCCGCAGGGACACCGGCGGCCCTCGCTCCAGGAACTCCCGCGGCGGCGGCCGCAGGATCAGCATGTTCCGCATGCACGTGGCGCGGGAGAGCATGACGTAGAGGTGCAGCGACCACTGCTCGTCAGACCTGCCCCTGCGGCCAGCGTCCTCGTCTCTCGCGCAGTCGATGGTGACGCCCTTGCGCAGCGTCTGGCCCTGCGACAGCGTGGAGGTCAGGTAGGACGCGTGCGTCAGGGTGAACCCCGAGCGGCGCACGCTGTGCGCCCCCGAGCTTTGCCATGTGAGCTCCCTTTCGCTGGGCTTGAACATCAGCAAGCTCCGCGCCCGCGCCTGGGCCTGGCCGTCCGTCGTCGGCGTCTTCGGCGCCCTGTCGCAGCACCTCGGCGACCTCCTGGTAGATCGGAGACTCCTTGAAGCCGTGCACCTGCAGCCATTTTCCCTGCGGTAGGAAGCGGGGGCGACAGAGCTGGCCTGCCGAACACTCCTCGTGCCGCTGCTCGTCCTCGTGGTGGAACTCGAAAGACACGATGGTGGCCCGTTGCTCCTGCACGAGCCCCAATTTTTTTTTCTGCTCTTCCTGCGCTGCCGTGAACCGCACCTCCATGCCGACGTGGGCCGGCGAGACGCCGTGGATGTCCCCCGTCTTGTGCATGTTCGGGACGTTCAGGAGGCGCCGACCCGCGTCGGGATCGCCTGGAATCGTGCCGCATTCGTCAACGGCCTGCAGGAAAACGAGGGGCACGCCCAGACGCCGAGCGTCGCGACGAGCACGCGCGTTCATCCACCTCGCATGCGTTTCCCAGTAGATGCCCATGCCGTAGCCGAGACGAAAGTTGTCGTGCTGGTGCCGAGGGTCCAGGACGCCGCGGTTGTCCGTGGCCAGCGTCTTCTCCCAGGCGGACCAGACCTCCGGTGGGAAAAGGCTTGCCCTCGCGCGTGCAGCCCAGGAACGTGATCAGCGGGTCCCCAGGCTCGAAGCGCTTCGTGCCCTTGATGGCGTGCTGGATCTCCACCGTCGGCGGGTCCGCGTACCTGTACAACTCGTCGTCGTCCAGGCGCTTGTTCACGTCCGTCAGGAGGCCGATGCTGCCGGTGGGCTTCAGCTGCAGGAAATCGCCGGGGTGCAACACGATGGGCACGCGCCCGACGTGGTGTTGTGGCCGCGTGCGTGTCACTGCGTCCGTGGCAGGCGCGAAGGTCCAGCGCGTTGTACAGCGCGGCTGCCACCATGCTTATCTCCTCGATGGCAAGAGCGCGGACGTGCTCCCACAACCACTTCAGTTTCTCCTGCATGCCCCCCGGCCGCAGCTTCGCGTTGGTGTACTTGTGAACTCGCATGGCACAGGCATTGTGCAGCGCTCTGGCTTTGACAGTATCGGTGGAGATGTTCTTCGCCTGCGCGTTCGAGAAAGCCACGACCATCATGCTGGCCCTGTCCGGCGCCAGCGAGGGCCACACGTATTCCACCACTGGGAAGACGACCTTCTGCACGACCTGCGTTTTCCCCGGCCGCCCCGGCCCAGCAGCAGCAGAATGGTGTTCTGGGAGCACGAAGAACACGAAGTGGCCTACAGTTGGCTCCAGGCATTCAAAATGTGGCCTGGGAATGGCGTTTTGGCCGCGCGAGAACCCAAAAGTGGCGACAATTACAGGAATTGGATGACCCGCTCGGATTAGTAACGTGATCCGCGGGCCCCATAGGGAGGGGGCTCCCGCTTGAGATTTCCTCGCAATTCACTCACAGACGAGGCCCAAGGCGAGAGAGTGAGTGAGTGAGCGATTGAGCATTCAAAGTGTGGCCTGGGAGTGGCGTTCTGGCAGCGCGAGAGCCCAAAAGTGGCGACAGTTACAGGAATTGGATGACCCGCTCGGATTAGTAACAGGATCCGCGGGCCCCATAGGATGGGGGCTCCCGCTTGAGACTTCCTCTCAAGTCACTCACAGACGAGGCCCAAGGCGAGTGAGTGAGTGAGTGAGTGAGTGGTTGAGCATTCAACAAAATGTGGCATGGGATGGCCTTCTGGCAGCGCGAGAGCCCAAAAGTGGCGACAGTTACAGGAATTGGATGACCCGCTCGGATTAGTAACGTGATCCGCGGGCCCCATAGGGAGGGGGCTCCCGCTTGAGACTTCCTCGCAATTCACTCACAGACGAGGCCCAAGGCGAGTGAGTGAGTGAGTGACTGACTAATTGACTGACTGACTGACCGGTGATGACGATGAGCATCACACTCTCTCACGCGCACACTCATCATCATCATATGTGAGTTCATGAGCGTGTGACTGAGTGAGTGTTGATGAGTCAGTGAGTGAGTGAGTGAGTACGTGAGTGACTGAGTGAGTGACTGAGTGAGTGAGTGAGTGAGTGAGTGAGCGCACGAAGACAGAAGAGGAGAGGGGGTGAGGTGAGGAGGTTCCTGCGCGGGTGTCCAGAGAAAACAAGAACCCCACTTTGGATGTGGGGAAAAACTGCCCAGGAGGGTGCACGCCCGACCTGACTGGCTTCTGCTTCGGGGGGAAAGGAGGCCATTCTCAGGGAGGGGGGGCTGCGGCACCGCTCAACGATGTGGTGTGCACCGAGGCTGCCGGGTGGACCCTTAATCCGCTCGCTCTCCGCGGGCTCTACCGAGGGGACCCTGGGGTGATCCGCCGTCTGCTGTTCCGCCTCCTCCAGGGGTCGGGCGCGGGAGTGGACGAAGAACGGCAGCAACGACGAGGGTTGGATCAGGAGGCCTACTCACCACATCGAAGATCGTATGAGTAAATTGCCGATTGACAGCTGGTGAACTTCTACACGTAAAATCCGGAAAAAAAACGCGGCCAGAGCGACCGCGCACGTCAGGGCGTCTTCCTTCCCTCTCCCACATCGCCTCCCCCCGCTGGGCTTTCCGTCCGCAACCCTCCTTCCCGCAAACGCTGCCTCCTCCTCCTCCTCCTCCTCCTCCTCCTCCTCCTCCTCCTCCTCCTCCTCCTCCTCCTCCCCCTCCCTCCTTCCCCTTCTGGCCAACTTCCCTCTGCCCGCGGGCCAGGACCGCCGAGGATGCCGGGCGCCGCGCCCGCGGGAGAGCCGTGCGGCGGAGGGGCCCAGGCCGCGGCGGCAGTCCGGGCAGTCGATGGGCACAGTTGCGAGGTCGCGCCCTGCCGCGTCAAGGGCGCCCCCCTCACCGTGTCGGTGTTCCAGCACGTTTCGCGGGCGGCCAAGAGGGGGGTGATGACTAGGGTGGGCGGATATCATGGCGAGGGCCATGATGTTTCCCCAGGTTTCATGGCGCCTCTTCTTGTTTCAACACGTCCCCGCCTCCCCCCCTGGGCCGCGCACGTGCCGCCGGCCATGATTTGCGCCCCCCCCTCTTGGACGCCCCCCTCTTGGCCGCACCCGAACATTGGCGACAGGCCATCTCAGGAGGACCGCTTCACTGTGTCTTCGAACTTCGAGCCGGACAGCTGCGTGCCCTGCTCGTTCTTCGGTGTCTTCGACGGTACCGTGGGCGACTTCGCCTCCGAGTGCGTGAAGGATTTGGTCATTCCCATGCTGCAGCAGTCGTCCAGCTGGAGGGGGCTGAAGCAGACGTTCACCACTTCTTCTCGCAGCGCCTCCAAACCACAGCAGGAGCGCCTGCTGGAGGACGCTCTCCGGGACATGTACCGTTCTGCGGATGAGTCTCTGCTGCGCAGCTGCTCGAATCACGCGCAGCACTACGCCACTTGTACCTCCGTGACCTTGGTTGTCGTCGGGGACTTGCTTGGCGTGAGCCACCTGGGTGACTCTCGCATCATCTTCGGGAAGGATGTGGACGGCCGCATGGTGGGCGAGCAGATGACCCTGGACCACAAGCCCGACAACGAGCAGGAGAGGCAACGCATTGAGAACAGCGGGGGGACCATTGTGCGCTTGCGGAACCATGGGGCCACGCCCTTCATCCGCGGCGGCGACTTCGCGGTCCGGAAAGCCTCTGGCGATCGTCCCATGCAGCTGCAGTATTCCCGCGCCTTCGGCTGTAAAGACCTCAAGCGTTTCGGCCTCAGCAGTGTCCCCGACATCAGGTTGTTGCGGATCGGCGAGAGGGGGTCTCCGGCATACAGGCGTGTACGCTACGCAATCCTTGCCTCCGACGGCCTGTGGGATGTCGTAGACGCGCAGCGCGCGGTGGAGGTGGCGCACCAGGCCGTACAGGACTGTCGGAATCCGTCCGAGGCCCTTGTGCAGTGCGCTCGGCGTGAGCAGTGGAAGCGCAATGCCAGGTCGGACAATGTCACAGCGGTCTGCGTGCAGTTCGATTGAGCGTACATTCGCCTCGAGCTGCTTGTAAGTCTAAGTTTATCATGTTTTCTGTTTCGCACCATCGTGCACCAATGTTCTATTTTGGATCCAGGCGCGCCTGGCTTGAAGGGTTCTGCCCCCTGCCGTCGACCCATTCTACAAACGTCCTAACGCTTCGTGCAGGGCGCGATCCCAATCAGGGGAACACGTAAGTAGTTGCGCAAGGAAGTCATTGCTTGGTGGTGCTTGCGAGTGCTTGGCAATGCTTGCCATTGCTTGGTATTAGCGTTGCATTGACTTGCGTTGCTTGGTATTGCGTGGCATTGGCTTTGCACGGCTTGGCATTGCATGACATTGGCACGGCATGGCATTGCCATTGCTCGGCATTGCTTTGCACTGCTTTGCAATGCCTGGCATTGCTCGGCGTTACTCGGCATTCCTTGACCAGACCAGGGAAATCGAGGAATAAGACAGGGAACCCCGAAAGAGGAAAGCAGGGATCAAGACCGGGGAACCGAGCGAGAACCAGAGAACCCCCGAGGAACAAGACTGGGAACCAGCGTAAGGCAGCAAGGAAACCAAGACCAGCGATTCGGGTCGGGCAAGGCTGGGGCCTGCCTTCTGAATCGGGGGTGGTACCCACCGGTTCTTCGCGAAACGAGAAAGAACCCTAACTATTCATCAACGCCCCCGCCTTGCCCCACCTCCTCCATCACCCCCCCCACACTCATTTATGATGGAGATAGGTCTGGCGAGAGGAGCTGGCAGATGTAGAGGTCGGGAGTTAGAGAGGCAGCGAGGTTGATATGTAGTGGGATCAGCACGTACAGATGCGTGCATGCAAACACGTGTATACACGCACGATATCCAGCTGCAGAGGTAAAGCGTAGATGGTGGCGTGAGGAAGCGTGGAAATTTGACTCTCCAGAAGTGTTTAACTTTTGTGGAGTGAATGTGATGGGAGGTGGAGATGGAGGCACACGTGCAAGCAGTGTTAGATGTATTGGTAGAGTCTGAGATAGGTAGACGCAGTAGAGGTATAGGTAGTAGAGGTAGCTGTACACGTGGAGACGGTGGAAGAGATATAAACAGAGGTGGGTATGGAGGCATATGTAGATGTAGAGGTATGCGTGTACACATAGCTATATAGAGATATGAGAAAAAGAGAGGGAGAGAGCAGGATGTTGATGTCCAGACATGCGTGCTGTTTGAAGTTTATGTGTATAGGGATGCAATATACGTACGTGTAGATTGAGAGATGGAAAACGATATGTAAAAGTGTTGCGGCGTGTAGAGTATAAGGCAGAGGTAGCGGTAGAGGTGGAAGTGGCTTGAGTAGACGTATAGTTTGATGTACAGTTGGTTACACATGCCTGAATGCATAACGGTCGTGACAGTTGCAGGCGCTCGCATTCTGAGTCGAGCCAGCGACAACATATTAACAGCGAGACGCGTACTACAGATCGGAATAGGTGGTCGTGAAGTTGACGATGGTGCCAGAGTTATTGATGATCCCAACTCATTGTTGATGCGATTAACGGGTAGTTGTCGTCGTTGTGGTTGTGTCGTCGGGCCGGGATTGCCACGTGTGTTGCTGGGCTGCCTCCGCAGCGAATTGTGTTCACTTGCCATGGAAGCAGCTAAGGTTGCTTTGTGTGCCATGACAATAGGTCGGGCCGCCCGATTGCCCTTCGGAGGACCTGTCTGTTTGAGACACTAAACTGGCTTGTGGGACGGCCACAAGGAGACCCACAATTGCTGACGCCTCGCACATGTCCACCAGCGTTTTGGCAGCATCAGCTCCGGCGGTGAATAGCTGCGACACCTCAGGACCCCCCCCAAGAGGCGCATCCCGCTGCTGGCCCACTCCAACTGGGACCTCAGCGGCGAGCTGCTGCGACCCCCACGATGTAAATGGTTCCTTGCGGCGGTCAGCTGCGTCCCCCCCTTTCCTCCGCGCAGGTGCTCTCGGCGAGTAGCAGCTCCCCCTGGCCACACCCTGTGACTGGCCACGGCCCCCAGTTTCGGCTGCAGGCTCTGGCCGTGGGGCGTGACGTTGCGTCCCTCGCCTCTCCCCCTTTGGCCCGGTGGGTGTCCCCCACCCGTGCCTTCGGGGATCGCCCGTAGCGGCCTTCGCTGGGCTGTGGCCCTCCCCTCCCTACTTGCCCCGTGGGTCGCGCTGCTCCTGGTTTTCCTTGACCATTCCAGCGTCAGTTTCCACGACTGTGGGGAGTCATCTGGTGTGTGACCACGCTTGGGCTCAGGGGCAGCGCCACGCGACAGTCCAGGGTGGCTGGCCACTTCAGCCTTACTCCAGCAGGACCCCCCCTGGCAGGCAGCGCAGGCGTCTCCACCACCAATGTGCCGACCCTCACCACACGACGGCGGTGCTGCAGGCCTGCGGACCTCTTCGCTTCAGGACTCGGCAGCACAGTTGCGCCTTGGGCTGCCGCTGGCTCCCCTCGGCACTGGGAGATGGGCTTCTGAGGGCCGGGCGCTGAGTGGTTCAGCCTACAACGCCTGTACAGCCTTTGGTTTTCCCCCGCGCACTGTTTCGGACGCCAGCGGCCCACTCAGCTGCCGCTCGGCTTGCGAAGGTGGGCCTGGAGTCTGGCGCCGCCCCGGCGACTCACTCCGTTGCCTCTGCACATTCTTTTCGGCAGCCCGTTTACTTCGGTTCACGCTGCTGCGCCTATGTGCGTGCGCTTGTGAATTTAGTTCATCTTGTTCTGTGCATGTGCAACTGCGATTTTGTCTTGCGGGTGCGAGCTTGTCCGGTGTCGGCTTTGTTCGCGAATTCGCCCCGTTCCGCCACCCGGACGCCGCTTTCGCTCCTTGACCGTTGCCTGGGAGCCGCCGACCAAAAAAAAAAAACATGTCCGCCAGCCTAGCAGAACTAAGCCCAAACAGTGCAACCAAGAAAATGCATCCGTCAATCCGAAGCCCTGGATCAGCGTGAGCAGACCCAGCAGTCACCCATCAATGCCGTCACTAACCTTCCCGTATTGCCGTATGGGAGCATGTTGGAAGCTCAATTGGACAATTCTGGGGTCCTGTTAGGGTCATCTTGGACGCGTTTCGGGTCTCTTTGGGGACGCTCTTTGGGCCTTCGGGCCCTCCTGGGCCGATCCAGGACGGCTCTGTTCAAAATTGAAGTGGGGATTCCTTCAGTAACGTCTCCCCGTCGGAGCCCGAAGCATTGTTTCGTGGCGCCATCTAACGACGCTCTTTGGGTGTTACTGGGCGTTTTGGGGGGCAGTCTTGGACGTCGTCGGGGCCCCTGGTGGGGCTCTCTCAGGCGATCTTGGAACCACCTTGAAACCTCCGCCATTGGGAGCAGTCTCTGGGCTGCCTAGGAGCCTCCTGGAGGCATTGGAGCCCATGTTGAGGACCAGATCGCGCAATTTTGGATCTTTAGGCGCCTGGGGCCATGTTGTAGCCGCGTTGGTCCAAAAGGCTTCCCAAGGATGCCCCGGGAGGCCAACACCATTCAGACACTTCGGGGTTGCAATGAGTTGGCTTTGAGCGACGGAGCATTACAAATTGCAGTCCCCCCGCCTGAGCCCGAACAACCGTCTCTCGCGCCCCTCATGGAGCTCTATTGGTGCTATCTAGGGCGATCCTGGGGCCGCTTTCGGGACTTTACGCGTCCATCCTGGGGCTCCTGGAGCCATCTTGAGGCCCTGGAAGCCCGTCGGGAGCGGGAAGACGACACGGCCGAAATCTTCGCAAAACATCATGGTGTTGCGTCATTTTGGCCTCTGAGGCTCCGTGGCTGCTTGGAGCCGTCTTGGGGCTTCCTGGAGGCATGTTTGATGCGCTCTTGGGGGTTACCTTGTGTCATCTTGGAGGCCATCTTGGGCTACATGAGGACCGCCTGAAGCCATCTTGGACCGACTTGGACCCTCGAACCCCTCGCGCCCCCCTTCCAGACCCAAAGGAAGTGGCAGGGGGAGTGGTCAAGATGCGAATGGGAGCGTCGCAAGCTGTCTCGCCTACTTGCCCTCCCACCACACATGCAACACCCGAGATAGCAGAAATCGCCACCAGGTGGAGATCCCTTTGGAACCAATACAGGCTCCAGGTGTACGTTGCTCGCGAGGTGCGTCACGTATGCCAAGTGCGCCGCGCGCACCATGTGTGTTACCCAGGTGTGCCAGGCGCGCCTGGGGCGCCAGATGTACCACGTGCTCCACGTGTGCCAGTTGCACGAAACGCGCAGGTGCACGAGACGCACTGAGTGCGCCAGAGCATGTGGCAGCACACATCGGGCAATATGCCGGTCCCCCAGAAATCCGTGTCGAAAGCCAGTACAGCAGGGCGGCGGGGTGTTCAGGATGGTGTATGGCGTGTGCACCCGCAAAGGGGTCGCCTTAGTTTTTTTGTTGTTCACGGCTAGTGGGACAGAGCACCGCGGACACACATGCGCACACCCCGCCATCTTTGTCAAACGCCGTGTCGTGAGCTCGCTGGGGTCCCAGTCACGACCCAGATGATGTTGCTGCGTTGGCCTCGTGTTGTTTTTGAGAGAAGGGGGTGACTACCTACCAAACCGCCCCAACCCGAAGACCCGAATTCGACCCGAATTCGACCCGAATTTCGGGTTGGGTGGGGTGCGGGCTCCATGTTTTTTCAATGTTCCCCGACCTCCCCCCCCACTGGAAATGGAGGGCAGATTGAGGCCCTCGGGTTGGGTTGGGGTGCTTTGGTGGGTGGCGAGGGGGGGCCCGCATGGCTCCCGGTCGGCGGCCGGTCGAGCGGGGGCGGGTAGGTGCATATCAATCAAGGCTGGGCCTAAACGGTGTTTTTGCGATGTCGTGGGCCGTTTTCGTTCCGACTTCGTTTTGCGGTAAAGGCGGATTGAAGACAGAGCGAAGGACAACGACAACAACACGAAAACGCGAAACACCGTGTAGGTTCAGCCCTGATATCAGTCAGGAGCAGTGATCAACCAAAATGGCCAAACCACATAGGCCCAGAGTGGTGACCGTTCTCTGATTCATTGTTTTGCCGATCGGCGCGGGCCCTCGCATCCCCCCCTCCCCCCCATGGAGTAGTAGATCTTGGCTGTTTTGGGCGCCTGTCTCGAGCAGGTGGAGTCTCCCCCATCAGACGCACTGCTGCATTGCGGCCCCCCGCCCTCGGAGGCCACGATCCTCGTGGGGGGTGTCGAGAAATTGCCCGGTCCGGCACCTCTGACCCGACCCTCCCGAGACTTGCCCTGGGTGCTTTTCGCCCAGGGACCCCCAGGGGCCGCCCCGCGCGCGCGAGCTAGAAATACTGTTGACCAGTTACCGGAGATCTTAGCACGCCTCTGGCCCGTTGGGCCGGCGAATCTTCGGCGGCACCAGCGCCAGCTGGATGTTGGGTTCCGGTGTTTGCCTGGGGCTTTCCCCCCCCCCTTTCCCCCGTGTCATGGCGCCAACATCGCAGAGCGGCTTTCACTCGGGAAACAGCGGGATCGGCCCGCAGTGTCCTGGAGAATGTCGGAGTGAATCTCCCGCGGATTTTCTGGGGCGAGGGATGAAGGCTCCAAGAAATTCACGTCGTTTGTCGCTCGCTGTTCCGGGGGCCCTGCACTGGCGGAAGCCCACGCAAGCATCCGCTGCAGCACGTCTGCAAGATCGGTGCAGTGGCCGGTGGCGGTTCCCCGCGGCCGCTGCTCCGTCGCTGGTGCCGCTGCGCGCTCCCCCCCCCTCCCCTGCGTGCCCCTCCCGGTGCCGCTCTTCGCTGTGCTGGTGCCGCTCTGCTCCTGCAGGAGAATTCGGCGGCGTTGGCTTTTCTATTCGAGTGGTGATGTTCCAATCCGTTTGAGCTTTGATTGCCAGCAAGAGTTTCGAGCGCCGAGAAAACACCGAGTCTGGAGGGTTTTCTCGCGTCGGGCCCTGGGAGGCGACACTCGTTCGACACTGTTTCGATACTTTTCTAGGTACTCGAGATCATTTCTGGGATGTGGTCTGTATGCACGATGGGAGGAGGAGGAGGAGGAGGAGGAGGAGGAGGAGCAGCATCAGATTTCTGGGGGGGAGGGGACCACCACCAGTCCGTGGATCCTGCGCCCACGCGCCAAATCCACGGAGGAGGAGGAGGAGGAGGAGGAGGAGGAGGAGACCCATTCCACGTCAGCGCGTGCCCGACCCCCGCCTGCATCGGCTCCATCTGGGAGGCCTCCGACTGCGCCGTCGGTGCGGGCAGGCCGGGCCAGGCCTGCGGGCTGCTCGTGCCCCGTGTGGCACTTTCTGCTGTGCCGCCGGCGGCCTCTTAGCCTCTCGTGCGCCCTTGGAGCTCCCGCTTCCCTTCGCTGCCACGCCACGAGGCAGAGAAGGTCCTCTTGTCCTTTCCCCCCCGTGACCCTCTACGTCGCGATTCTAGTTGATGCCTGGCCCCCCAGGGCTATCGAGACCTTCCCGGGAGCCGATTCTCCTTTGCGGATGTCTTTTGTCGAGGGCCCCAGGCTTGCAAAGGGTACTCGGAGGCCGTCATTATAGAAAGTGTGGTCTGGACGGGAGGGGGAGTGGGAGGACGATGGGCGGGAGGCTGGAAGAGGCGGAGGAGGAGGAGGAGGAGGAGGAGGAGGAGCAGGAGGAGGAGGAGGGGGAGGAGAAGGAGAAAGAGGAGGAGGAGGAGCAGCAGCAGCAGCAGAAGTATTGGAGAGGAGGGGGGGCAGGAGCAGGAGCAGAGGAGCAGGAGCAGCAGGGGGGAGGGGGGTCACGGCTCGTTCGCTCCCTGCCCCTCGTCCTTCAGGCACTGAGCTCTGATGCAGCGTATGTGGTGCATTGTGTGGTGTACTTTATTTGTTGTAGTGTGCAATTCGCGAACAGCTGGAGCCAAGCATCGCGGAACACAGGGCGTGTGCAAAGTTCCCGCTGCCGTGCGCTGGCCTTGCTGCCGTGTGCAGAGTTCCCGCTGCCGTCCTGATTGTATGCGAGGCTCGCGCACGGAAGCCTACGGGGCAGTGTTGCCGATTGCCATTCGCCTGCTCCAGTCATGAGTCCTGGAGAGGGAGCCACGAGGGACGGCGATTGTTTGACATCGGCGGGGGCACAGCGATCCCACGCCGCCCATCGGTCTCTGCTGATTGGCTGTGCTGTGACGCTTGACCATCTGATGTTCGCCACCTCCTCCTTCTCCTCCTGCTCCTCCTGCTCTCCTCCCCCTCCTCCTCTCTTTCCTCACACCGGCTCCACTCCCTGAGCAGGCACGTTTCGCTCCTGGCTTCGCGGCATTTGTTGCTGCGCAAATTGAGCGTCCATGTTGTTCGACACGTCGTACAAACAACGAAAAAAACGGTAACGCATTTGGGGGCAAGCGTTCCGCATTGATCGCGCTTTGGCGGAGAGCTACAAAAGCGTATGTTGTGGGGCTATACGTTCCGCCACAATCTTTGAAACTATAATTGGGGATGTCGAACAAATGCAAAATGCTATGTAGTCCGCCTCAAGGGTCACCAGCGGGAGTACTAAGCAAGCAGACCGGCCATGGATTACACAAAATGCATTAAGTGCGTTTGTGCCCAGGGATGCCGCTCGACGTGCGCGCCAACGAGACGAAAAAAAACGGTTTTCTAAGGCCATTCGGACCTCTGTCAAAAAATGATAAACGCAAGTGGCTTGATGACCAACTACACGGCTGCCGTTAGTGGCCGTCGGTGGCCTTCGGATAGGACCCGCGAAGAAGCCAATATAAGTCAAATACTCGAATGGAGAATTTGCTGAAAGCAAAGGGACGATGTATTGACATATTCGTTTGAGCACACACAATGGAAACTCACGAATCCTAGCAAGAATTTTCAGCTGGGACATACGGGGGAAAGACACTTCAAATCAAAACGAGCGCTTTTACAATGAAAGCACTGACACCCGTTCTCAAACAATTGACTTGCGTCATGAATTCTATATGTACTTGCACAACGGGGAGGCATGGGACACATTCATACACATGTAGAAAATGGTGGGATCAAAACAACATACCCACCCAGTGGAAAATATCATGTGTGACGCTGCTGCGCAAAAAATACACAAGCCTCGAGCGGCGAATTACAGGCCCAATGCGCTTGTATCAGTTGGCTATAAAGTGGTGATATCATTGCTACAAAAATTCTTGCAACATGGAGGAGCCGAAACTCCAGTGCGAACAACACAATCTGGTTTCCGACCCAGCAAGAGCACAATGCAATTTATTTCCGCTGTGCGCTGAATGATCGACGTTGTTTGCGTTTTTGCTTCATCTGGCTTCCTTGTTTTTTTGGTTGGGCAGAAGATTTGGACAGACCCAATCCCGACGAATTGATTGCCGCATTACACCAATCTGGCATTCCAGAGACAATTGGCCAGCTATTTCTACCCAGGGCATTTTTTCATCGTAAAAGACGAGGCTGGCAATTCAACATACAGAAAGCACAGAAAAATGCGATCGCCCAGGGATGCCCGTTGTCCCCCCTATATAATATGTATGATATATATATATATATATATATATATGAAAGAGCGTGTTCTACCGCTGCTGCCGGAAAAACCGGGGGGGGTCACTACCGGTTCGAACCCCTCCCCCCCCCTCTGGAAAACCTCCCCTCTGGAAAAACCGGGGGGGGGGTCACTCACGGTTCGAACCCCTCCCTCCCCCCCCCCCCCCCCCCTGCTCATCATTGAAAAAAGGGGGGGGGTTCACTACCGGTTCGAACCCCTCCCCCCCCCCCCCCCCCCCCCCCCCCCCCCCCCCTCCGGATCTCGGAAAACCAGGCGGGGGGGTCACTACCGGTTCGATCCCCTCCCCCCCCCTCGAAAACCGAGTGGGGTGCGGACAGTGGTGGGGACGGTGTTGGTGGGGACAGTGGTGAGGGGATAGCGGGACAGTGGTGGGGACAGTGGGACCGTGGGGACAGTGGTGGGGACGGTAGTGGTGGGGACAGTGGTGGGGACAATGGTGGGAACAGGGGGGGGACAGTGGACAGTGGTGGTGACGGTGGTGGTGGGGACAGTGGTGTGGGGACAATGGGAATGAGGTGGAAACAGTGGGACAGTGGAGGGTACGATGGTGGTGGGGACAGTGGTGAAGGCGGTGGCGAGGACGGCGGTGGGACAATGGGACAGAGGTACAGTGGGGACAGTGGTGGGGACAGTGGGGACTGTGGTGGGAACAGTGGGACAGCTCAGTGGGACAGCGGAGGAGTCAGTGGGACAGTGGGGACAGTGGGGATAGTCGGGCAGTGGTTGGGGCTGTGGAGACAGTGGGGAGAGTGGAACCGTGGTGGGAACAGTTCTGGGGACAGCGGGGACAGTGCGACAGTGGTGGGGCCACTGGTGGGGACAGTAGGGGCGGTTGTGGAACCAGTGGGGACAGCGGTGGTGAGGACAGTGGTGCTGGGAACACCAGTGGGGGATGTGATGCGGACGGTGGTG